ATAGGATAAGTTTTTAAATTTGGGCATTCATATTTCACATGTCTTAGTTTTCTACCCCTAAAGTAAATAATGTTAGAAGAAAACTTAACATCTTTACATATTTTACCTTTGCTCCACTTTTATTGATGATTATACTTGTGCTTCAGTAGTCTTTCAGATTTGCTTGTTATGAATGATATATCCTTACTCTTATCTTCTACTAAGACACATTCATTCATGTCTTTGACTTTTAGCATTATAGTCTTTTCATCACATACATCCAAAAGTCTTTGACTCACACTTTGCTCGTAGGCAATGAGTGAGCCGATTAGATTGTCAATAGAATAAGTATTTGAATCTTTCAATTCACATATAGCCATGACTTTGGCATCAAATTTATCAAGTAGACAACATAAAATTTTATTAAACTTTTCAAAGTTTGAAAGTTCTATACCTAATGCATATAAAGAATTCACTATCTAAGTAAATCTAGTATACATGTCTGAGATAGCCTCATAAGGTTTCATGCTGAAAAGTTAATAGTAATGCAGTAATAAATTTAACCTAGACTCTTTGACTTCACTAGTACCTTCATATATAATGCATAGTCTATATCAAATATCTTTGTCAATTGTATAAGTCAAAACTCTCATATAATCCTCAAAAATTAAAGCACAGAAAAAGTAATTCAAAGATTTAAATTGAATTGAGCATAAATTTGTTCCTCTCTTCTCTATTCAGAATAAGGAATGTTTATTTTAACTCCTTTAATAATTTATGACGGTACAGAATAACCAATTTAAATCATATGCTACATTCAAAAATTTATTGATTGCAAGAAATTAGATGTAAAGTTTTTTTTAAAAATTAAATAAAATATTTTAAAATAAAGGAGAAAGTGATATTCAATAACTCTCCATAGTATTTTGATTGTCAAAGTGCGTCATTGATCTTTTTGAAACCTGGTTTGATACAACTTTTAAGTTTGAGATGGTTATTGGACCTTAATGAACTATCCCTAAAGCACACTAAGATCTTAGCAATACTATCACTTGAGGCTGAAGCTAGTACACTTATCAAAAGTTATAAAGATGATGATGATAGGATAATCATTACAACATAATATAAATTATAGATTTTTAACCAAGCAGTTATATCCAAAAGTATAGCATGAAAAAATAAAGTGCATAAAATAAAAATTAGAATGAGTGCACCATATTTATAGTGGTTCGATCAAACCATAACCTACGTCCACCCCCTGGAGTCCTCATCTCCAGGTATTGCACTATCACTATAGTGTCTCTCCTTTAGCCCCCACAACTAAGTGGAGAAGTCCTTACAAACTCTCTTCCATCAACCCGGTGTGGTAGAGAACCACTCCTTTCCCAAATAAAGAACCATGACTCATTTTTACCCTCCTGGTGAGGCAGAGAACCTTGACTTCTTTTCACTGTCATGGTGAGGTAGAGAACCTTGAATCAATTTCACCTTCCCTAGTACAGTGGAGTAGCCTGGTCTTTTGACATCAAAGTGGTCTTCTTCTCAAAGTTTCACTCAAGGTAAACCTTTACTCTTAGAGGAACTCAGGTGCAAGTTCATCAGAGCAACTGTGTGAACCCCCCCCCCCCCCACACTCCCATGGAGCCCATAAGGATCTTCTCCCTCTCTTACAGAATTCACCCTTTCTCTCTCTAGCTTAAAGCTCTATCTTCAAGCTTTCTCCAAAAGAAATCAACTAAATGAATACAAAAAAGACTACAACAAAGTCTTATGAGAAATCTTAAGCAGAGGGTTTAAAAAAACTCGAAAAATTCAATTTAACTGTCAAAGATCATACAATATGATCGCAGAATCATCCAATATGATGTGCAAAATTTGAGATGTTAGTACTATATGATCATCAATACGAATGACCCTTCATACAATACGAATAGTTCAATTTTTCCTATTAGTGCTATATGATCATCACTACAAATTACTAATTATACAATACGATTAGTTCAACTGAAATGCAGTTTGTCCATGATGAATCATGGGACAACCAAATATCATCTATGTTGATCATACAACACATTCCAGTTTGTACAGTAAGATAAAAATATGAAACTTAAGCATATTTGATTGGCCAATTAAAGGAATAAATTAGGTAATAATCTAAATATCATACAATATGATCCAGATCATATAGTATAAATAGAGAAAATTTAAAATTCAATTTTTTGTTTAATTTAATAAATAATGGGGTTTCTAATTATAATATATCGTCCAGTGTAATGTGTTGCTCATACTATATGATTAGTGATATTTCAAAAGTATTTTTCTAAATAAATACAATATTTTAATTAATTCGTGTAAAAATAAATCGTCCAATACAATACTGATCATACTATACTATGTAAATAAAAATTAAAATAATCAAAATTCTTTTTTACTCCCCCTATATATGTGCACGGTCACCAGGTTAGCATACACCCTTACATGACTTAACTCATTAAAATCAAAATAAATAAATGAATAATACATATACTTTCAACATAACTTATTCTGCTCAATCTTGAGCCCTGAATCTTTAAATAACAGTGCATGTTGTATCTAAAATGATTGTTAAAACACAAACAAATATGTACTACAAATACTAGGAGAAATAAAGAAGTAATCAATAATATTTGTTATCATCAAAATAATAAACTCGGGAGCCCGATTTGCAACAAGATCAAGTTTTTTTAGTTTAAATAAGGTTCTACCAATTATACTCTATGTTTGTTTATAGTATACGAACATCATCGTATAATATGTAATCATCTTAGATTTTGTCACTTGATATCAGGTCTAAATTAAGTAAATTGTTAAATTGATAATAAAAAGTTATACAATATAATTAATATTATTTTAACATTTTAACTATTCTTTTAAAAGAGGAAAGAATGACTATTTAAATTTAAAATATGAGATCATGCAGGATGATCTAAGTTGTATAATAAGATTTGTATTTCAATTTTCAATTTTAATTTCATTAATCAATATCACTTGATTTCTTTTATTTTTTTTTTAAATATTCATAATATGTTGAGAAGTATGATATATACTGTATAATATGATTTGGCATAAATCAAGTGCTTTTAATTAACAACATATATATATATATATATATATATATATATATATTTAATATACTCTCCACTCTAGTGTGTGTGTGGATAATTATTTATCCAATATAATCCTACACTCAAAGAAGACTCTAGAATAAAAAAATTACAAATTTTAACACACATTTTATATTCTAAGTTCTTAGTCTTTAATGGTCTTCACGTTCGCAATTATTGTGCTCAATCAGCTCCTCTTTCTAATATTGTATTATGTACAATAGTTGTTTATTTTAACCTAAATTATTAGTCCTAAAATATGCACATTTGAATAAAAGTTATATTGACATAACCAATAATAATTTTGTTCATCAAAATCCTAGTATACAAACAAAGCTCATGGGATGGATTAGACTAAGTCTTCTAATAAATGAGACCTAGTATAGTGGGGTTTTTGGTGGCATGAGTTTTATTTATGTATTTATTGGCCTTTCTCTAGAGGAACTTGACTATAAATATCATGGTTTAGGATTTTGGGTTTAGGATCTTGACTATAAATATCATAGTTTAGGGTTTAGTGGGTTTATGATCTTGCTCTCTCTCTAATAAATTTGCCTCTCCACTTCTCAAAGAGATGATGAGATTTCAAAATTTACACAAGCATTTATGTGTCACTTATCTTGAGACTTTAACTTTTTTATTTTTTTTTTATTTTTCTTAAGATGAAAAATCCATTCTATATTAAACTCAATTGGTTTAACATATAGTCATTAAGCCACCACCATAGGACAAACTTAAAGTCAATAAGTTTTATAATCCACAATTCAATCCCCCTACGTAAGATAACCTAATATTATCAAGGAAGAATTCAACCAAGTTTTAGCCAAATGAATTTCTTTTAAGTGAACTAAACTCAAACATAAAGCTCATGCTTAACCTAGCATTCTTTTCTTGAGAACCAAAAAATACATTACAGTTTCTGCCACCTCATAATTTAGTCACATTAGTAACATGTGATTAATGGTTGATGATAGTTGTTGAGTCAAAATTTTGATATACACCATGATTTCATACTAAAGAATCTTAAAATTTATCTTCATCATAATTGATTCATGGTATTCCCCTTCTAGAGTGGGCATAAGATTCATCCTTGGATAACTAAATTGTCCATTCCACACCTTTAAGTCAATTGGTTATGTCTTACAACCTCTAAGCACGCCAAAAAATTGATGCTTTCTATTTGTAAGATAATTTTAGTATGAATAGGTTAAAGAAAGTCATTGAACCTTCATAGGTTATCTTCTTACGACCATGAACCATTGTTAACCTTGCTTTACATCTAAAACCTTTTCCATTAAGACTGAGTTCCAAAGTTCATCATGAGATAATGTCCCCTTTGGCATGCTACTACTAAGATTTTCTCATTATATCTAAGGGGAGGCCATAGCTACTAAGAACCCTCAATGAAACTTATGGTTATAAAATCCCGTAGTTTTGACATTTTGGTTTCATTATGTCAACTTGAGGTGAGGGAATCATAAAATGTTAATCCGATTGACCATCCATTTCTCTTAATACCTTATGACTAACCTCATGTCAAATTTGATGACATTAATCAAAGGTAGTTTTTGCATCTAATGTGATGTAATCAGTTATGGGGGATTCTACTTGTAGGTATTTCTAACCCTCTAAATTAAAATAAACTCATATTGACTAACTAGAAGAGCCCTTAAACTTTATCCTCATTATTCCTTTGAAAACCCCACAATGCTTCTCCAAAAACCCCAAAATAAGTGAAATGAAATTATTGCTTGTATAGATATTGGAGTAAATAAAATGGTGAATGGTAATTATATTGTCTTATGTAGTGTTTTAAGTTATTGTAATATATTTGTAAAGCATCACATGCATGTATATCACATAAGAAAAGAAGGGTTGAGTCAACTTTATTGTTGGATCTTGTTTTATAAAATATTACGTCAAATGTCAAATTTCTAAATAAGCAAAATACAAGAATGATTTCATGACATGGAATTGCATTGAATCATGGTATGTTATATATAAATATTCTTGGTAAAATATAATAATAATACTAACACTTAAGAAAGAACAACAACTTTGCTCAAAATCCACAAAACCAATGTCATCTCAAACGCGAAGAGAGTGTGAAGCAAACCCCTATCCAGAGCAAAACCAAATATTGTGATCCCGCCACCATTATGCTGCAAATATGTCACTGAAATATTTCAAATTAGTTGTTAAAACTTATACACATTCCATATCCTAAATACATTAAATAATTGATAAGAAATATAATATCAATATCATCATCATTAACCTTTAGATCTATAATAAAATATCTTATGAAAAATACTGAGAATTAACTTCATAAAGTGAACCTATCCAATGTATATAACTAACTCTATTTGTCTTTGTAAGCATGAAATAAGCATTTGTTAATCATGCGCTAATCACATGTATTGTCTTATGATCATCATAATTAATCATAATCATTAGTCCTATCTTAAATAATTTGAGTCATGTTCTCCATATCCAATTCCTCATTCTTTCCTCTTTAATATATCTCACAACACTTTTTTCTTCTACCAAATTAGCAAACCTTATTGGACATCTGTGTATTTTTAATTTCTTTCACATACATTTTTAATATCTATTGATACATAATTTAGTAAATCAGCAAAGCCATCTTAAATCATGAATTATATATAATATTATGTTAATATGATTAGATCTACTTGTGTGGAATATTGGGAAGAGTTCAGTTTGCCATTCAAGAGATGTTAGTTCAAATCCTAAAAAATTATTTTTACAATTATTTTTTTATTGATCCAAATTTTAGTTATAAATAAATATAAATTTTAAATACTTCTATTATTATTATTATTATTATTCTGTAAACTTACTATTATTATTGTTATTAGCTTACTAATATTAACGATTAGTGTCTTACAAATATTACTTTTTGTATTATTATTATTAATGTTAGGGAGAAAGAGAGAAAGAGAGAGAGAGAGAGAGAGAGAGAGAGAGAGAGAGAGAGAGAGAGGAAGGAGAGTTACATTAATTTATTATTATCATAAATTTTTTTGGAATACCAATAATAACCATAAGCCATAACACAAGCCGCAATTTGGCATTTTCATTAAGCGCTTTTTATTCTTTTTGTTTTTTTAATAATGTTTTATCTGATAATTTAATTATAATATCATTTCCATTTTTAAATTTAGAGTTTAAATATTAAGATATTTTAAATATTAAGATATTATATAAATAAATATGAAATTTTAGAGATATAAATAAAAATATATATATACCTAAAGCTTGTCGGGACTCGAAACTGGAACGTGTTTGTGAAATTAGAGGTTGGAAGGAATTTTTTGACTCGCAATCTTCACCGTCTGATTCATCATGATTGACGATTGTTTCCAATTTGGTGGTGGATGAAGAGGACATGATCATATGCCATCGGCTTGCGATTGAGACCACTCTCTGTGCTCTGTGGGTGATTCTTGCCGCTCCAAATAAACACATCAAAAAACCGCTCAGCTGAACAACCGAGCATACCTGATATTTAAAAAAATAATAAGAAATAAAAAAATGAGGCTTTTAAGTATGATTAATGGATGTGTTCATTTTCTTATATTAAAAATTATTTATTTGGGATGGCCGTTTTATAATATTAGTTGTGAAATTGATATGTAAAAAATGACTTCGCTATTATGATTGTATAAAACAGTTTTTCACTATAAAATTAATTTATGAAAAATACTGAAAAAACAGTAAGAACGTATTAGTCAAATAAAATTATAATTGTCATCTAAAATATAAAATAACTAAGAAGTTGTTCTAAACAAACTCTTAATATGACAATTATGATAGAAAAATAATTGATATAATATGACAATATATTAATAAAATATGTCATATATTAATAATAATCATAATTATATTAATAAAAGTATTAATACTCTAATAAAAAAAATTTACAACTATGTAAATATCACTAGATTCTCATCCGTTAATATATATAGCACTCAAAATTCAATATTTGCTTATATGATATTCTAATATAAAATTCACATAAAAATACCTCAAATTTTAACTTATTTATGTGAAAATACTTTTTCATGCATATATTTTGAAGTGATTTACATATGTAGCACTAAAAACATTAGCATTTGCATATTTAACATCTAAATTTTATTATTTGCATACATAGAACTCAAAAGCTTTAAAATCCTAATTATGGAGTCCTCAATCATGTTGCCCTTTGTCGATGTCGGTCTCGCTTGTAAGCCTTCACCCTCGCACTCCCTCTCTCATTTCATCTCTCACTATCCGACATGAGATCTTGCAGATGAGAACATCAACGAGCCCATTTATTGTAAGATCCGACGTAGCTCACAAGTGAGGGCATCAACTGGTCCCAATAGTGTATTCAGTAAGCTCATAAGCAAGAGCATTACAAGTCATGTGTGTGTTCTACGAGATCCAATAAAGAAGTGTAGGATAACATAAGTAGTAAAATTTAAATGTTAAATAAATAAATCTTAATATTTTATTTGCTATCTATATATATATCCCCCATCTACTTGGAAACTAAAATATTATAAAAATATATATTAAAAATAAAAATATTATATAAATAAATAGACAAAAAATGGTATTTATGTAAATCCTCTAAAACTTTTTATTTCATAACATAACATTTTGCTCATATTAGTATTGATTAATTTAAAAAATAGAACGTTAGTCATAACTTATAATATATGAACGGTAAGTAGAAGGATGGTCTTTATTATTACCACGAGATCACCTGAATTGCAGAAATTCCTGTCACCTTTGGTAGCGAATACTATCACCAAAGCTCCCAACTGACTGACCGTAATAGTCACCACACACCCAATTATGAATATCCTATACCTATGACTCATAGCCTTCAACAGCCTCCTTATCCTCAAATGCTCTCTAAACATCACCGCCTCCGCCTCAACCTCAGCCACCGCCCCACTTCCCTGTTCAAACATCTTATAAAACTCCTCAAACCTCAGAATTTGAAGCTCGCACGTCATTCTAAAGAAAACGCAGACGAGCAGGAAAACCCCGGTCCGATAAACCCAGGAAGCCAGTGCGGCGGCCAGTGCCGCAGCCTTCCACGGCTGCGCGGCAGCCGGAGAGGCGAAGAGGAATGTTTTGTGGGCGAGTTGGACGGCGAAGGAGGGGAGGAGAATAGCAGCGAGGTGACGGAAGGCGCGGTCGATTTCGCGGGTGTAGGCGCGGCGGACAGCGGGGGAGTCATGGCGGAGGCCATTGAGGAGGAGGTGTTGGAAGGAGGAGGAGAGGGTGAAGAAGGAGATGATGGCGAGGATGGATTCGGGGAGTTCGGAGAGGAGGGAGGAGGCGGCGGTGTGGAGAAGGTGGGAGTAGGAGATGGGGATTATGACGGTGAGGGTGAGGAAAGTGAGGTAGGAGATGGTGCGGGAGAGGGAGGAGGAGTGGTCGAGCGCGCAGTATTTGAGGCTGGAGTGGAAGCGGAGGAGGAATTGTTCGTCGGAGTTGGTGGTGGCGGTGGAGAGTAGGGGACGCGTGGGGTTTTGGGAGTCCATTTTTTGGAATGGGAGCTTGAGTTGTGTATTTTTGTATTAATTATTTGTATTGTTGGGGTAAGAGTATATGGAGGAGTTAGTTATATGAGAGGTTGATGGTCACGGTTTTAATTAATATGTTTGCAGTGGCTTTTAAAAGGCAGAGGCTACAATTCGGCCACTCGACGTTTTCAAATCCTTTTATTTATTTATTATTCTTTTCATTTCAAGTTGTTGAATGAATCGCTGGTATGAATTTATAGCTTATTATTATTATTATTATATAACAATTAAATTTTTTAGTTAAAAGTGGTTACATTCTTCAAAGTCTTCTATGAACATATACATAGAATCAGGGCCGACTAGTGTTTCATTTTAGGGGGAGTGAAATTTCAATATTAAAAGATTAATATTTAAAAAAAATTAAAATGTGGACATAATTCAGAGCAAAATTTTATATTTCATTATGATAGGTAAATTAAAAATCATTACAATCTTATTAATCTTTTTTGCATTTTTTTAATAATATTTTATTACATCTTCATATGGAATCTAATCAAACACATATTTTTTTAATATAAGGCACAAAATAGTCATTGAGTGAATCATCACTCATCCCATTACTCAATCGATGTTTGATAATTTTTTATTGTAGAAAAGGATCTTCATTTTAGCAGTAACAACTAGCAAAGTTAATGCTAAGTAATAAATATGCAAACCAGGGGATACACACCATCCTTCTTGACCTTAACAATTTACTTTGTAAGATCAA